ACTTTTCAATTATTTAACTTTAAATAAATAAATTACAACTATCGAATTTTCTTGAGCTTACATCGTTCTTTCCCCGCGTAAGCTCTCATATTTACATTTTATCACTTTCTTAATGTACTTTCTTACTATCGTATAATAAATTTTTCATATATTTATTATATATTAGCGACAGGTTTCGTGCATGCATTTTCTTACTATTCGTATGTGGATATCAATATAATATCAATTAAATTTTATGATTTAATTAATGAAGCGTACTACATTTTATAGCAATGTTGATGAATGTCATAAAAATCGAGATAAAAATGAACAATGTAAAATACAGCTTACGCTACTATCTAAGCCTTTGCATGTTGGCATTAAATGCATACTATTTCTTGTTAACGCTGCCATATGAAAGATAGCGTGGCAACTTTTTTACAAGTCTCAAACTGACAGCATAAACATAAACAAGACACCGTTGTACCACCATTGAATAAAGACGTTGTTAAGGTAATAAATGAAAGTACCGAGTGTATAGTACTGAGGGTTTTTAGATCCGAGTCAGTTCCATCGTCACGTAATGCTCGAAACAGTCAACCATCGGATATAAAATCATTATCATTGCAACGGAGATAACCTATGTTTTGCTCAACGGGCCACGAGCTCGAACCGAACAATCACTAACGAAAATCCGTCAGCAGCCAGCGTCCAAACTACACTTGCGACGTGCACTTAGAGCCGCCGATATAAGTACACGGTGAACGTTCGATGACTGGTTCGCGGAAAAAGCGGCTCGGCAAAGGTGACGAGGAGAAGCCCAGGTCGATTGCTTAATGAGCCGAGTGATTTTTTCCGTGGGTGGAATGACGAGAGCGCAATTGTGAGAAGACGAAACTAGAACTTGATGTTAAGAGTACAGTTTTATGTGGGAGCGAATGAGGCCAAGCTTGTAGCTCGCTTCGATAACAATTCCATTTCCAAACAAACAATGGCCTGTCTTTCAAATTTATATTATTGAATCAGTGGATGTCTCGTGCGTGTGTGTAAACACGGAGGTTTCTATCATTGGGCTAGTGCGCGATGGGCCCACCGTTTACTTTCCTTTTTTTCGTTTAACTACTGATATTGATAGTATGCTTTACGCGCGCCTCTTATGTACTGTCAAATGCAAATAATACGTCTTTTCATTTTCGTTATAGGCCACTCACTGTGAAGCTCTTTATCAAAGGGGAAAAATTGCCCATCGAAAATTGTCGTAATTTTATAAATTGGTAGAATTACAGCGGCACGTCCCATTACGAATTGTGCGAAATATTGCGGAAAGGCAATACAAAGACACTTACAAAATCTCTAATACTTTGAACGGAATTGCAAATTAAGATACTTAACGTTTATAAAGTACTGATAATAGCGAACGGATAATCAATAATATTGGCTTTTTCGTAATAATAATTTATTTGACATCGGTAATGTCATGTCTCATTTTACAACAAAAATTCTATTGTTGCGCACAATATCGAATTATCCGTATGAGTGAGCCAATATACGACTAATAAATTATCATCTTTACTGATAGTAAATAGGATTTTTTAGAAAAAGTTTGCAATTATAAGGCAATTTTAAGTGGTATAAATTATTTTAAGCGTATCTCGTTGATTTTTTGTTTTTTTTTTTTTGCATAATAAATCTGATTTTAGACTGCCAATTAAGTAATTTGAAATTTAATTACTTTTTACAAATATCAGTTATTGCATTTTGTTAGAAATTCAACATAAATCTAATATGCAAAGCTTTATATCGATTTGCATTTATTTTTGATGAGTATATTATGGATAAGCGAAGATAATAAAACGATTGTTAAGCTTCATTCGTTAACGTCCGCAACTTACGTTTGCCGACCAATAATGTAATTAAAACTACGTGATTGTATTACATTGTTGCACAAAGTGGTGGAGTCAGTTTTCTGTGCTTGGTTTTTGGCGGTGACGATTTTCATGGACAAAACAGATCCTTTACATATGATAATAGAGTCTCCCAATAAAAACCGTACATACTCACGAAATGCATTAATATCTGCATTTTGATAAGAAATTTTGATAATATCTATGGTATCACTATCAATGTTATCATCCTATTCGTACAAAAAGTAACGTATCGACTGAACTTTATAAATCCATGATGTTCGCCTAACAATTAAGATGTACAAAATTCATGGAGGAACGTAATAAAAACTTTTGATTAACACTTAATATATATATATATATATATATATATATATATATATTTAGTTAAAAATTTAAAGTAAGTATAATATTATTTTTGTTTCTTCGTCACAATTATTTATAATTAAGTCTCCATATCACAACATCATCAATATTTTAAAAGGCCCATAAATGCGATATTATTGCATTGTGTTTGTTTTTTGTATATTTAAAATAATATTTAATCACTTGATGCTCATATGTTTTGTAACTGTTAATCCATCGAGCAACGCGAAATATTATTGAAATATAAATAAAATATAATTTTCAACATTTAGTTAATTTAAATAATTTTCTTCAAATGCATAATATAGGTTTTATTTCTTTCATTTGCACAAAAGATATTAGAAAGATAAGAAATAAGAATTGTATAAAAAAAAATTAAATTTTAGAATAATTTCTTTCTAACTTTGTCGAATGTTTTATATAATAATTATTATATAAAATTTTAACATATCTGAGTTTATTATGGTTCCAATGTCTTTTAATTGGAAAAGTATTTAAAGCCAAGAGCTTGATCGCATTAATATCCAAATATTTTACTTACATGAATTTTCCCATCTGTTTCTATTTTTTTAAAGAATTTTTCATTCTACGTTTTCCAACTATTTTTTAAAGAAAATTTTGAACATAAAATAGGACACACGTGGTTGTTATTCGGGAATAAATTCATTCTTAATGTACAAAAAATCGAGTAAAATTTTTTTTATAGATAGATTTATTTTAAAATATATGAAAATTATGTTCCATTGATTTAATTGAATATTAAAAGACATTATTACTAATTTGCTATTATTAAGGTAAAAAAAAAATCAATAAACATTGTATTAATAATAATCAATATATTCAGAATACGTAATATTAAAAAAATTTCCTTCGATAATAATAATAATATTAATTAGATATATATGATATTTAAAAATATATAATGCACATGTATATATAAACTTTTGTTATAAATGTAAAATCAACTAGTAAAAATTTGATTCAATTTCAAAAGTGAAATATTTCATATGTAAATATATTTTTCACGTAAGATATGACGAATGCAATTATTTAATATTATTTTAAACAAATGGAACTCTATTATTTCCATTTATGTTAATAGTATGAATAAATATTTAATATGAGGTGATTACAATTTCTCAATATGGAAAAAGTTTAATATTTCATTTGAACGCGTCAATTTATTAGATCGTTAAATATTTTATTTTCCATATTGAATTATTAAAGAGAAGAAAATGTATAAAAGCAACGAAGAAAAAACAAATCAGTTAATTTATGAGACTTATGAAGTATTAGTGTATGAATTTCTACATTAGAAAAATATGTTTAAAGCAAAGTAAATTGTAAGAGGTAAATAAAAGAGATAATTTTGAAAAATAAATTGTAAAATAATTTCTGTTATTCGAAATTGTATTGATGTAATAGATCGAATGATATTTAAATAAATAATAGATTTCAAAGAGTTATTAAACCATGACGTTTTATCATTTTATCTATTATTTTATTTATTTAATTTCCAGTATTATCTAAGATATTATTTTGTTAGAAGAAGTTTTACCATGTATATATATATATATATACACTTATGAGACATATGCATGATAAAGAATTGTAATGTTTGGTCATTTTAGTTTTCAGCAATCAATTATTACCAGAATGAAAACATTGAAATTTTTTACCGACAAAATGAATCAATTTATATATTATTTATGATTTCTTTATATTCTTTTATCTACAATGACTTATTTTTTTTTTTCATTTATCCTCAATTCAATATCTAAAAAAGGAGTATTGAATTGTAACAATAAACTAATGCATCTCTTATGGACTTTTATTATTGTTAATATCTTAATTATACCAACTTGCTACGCGAATAATATTTTTTTATATATTCAGTATTTTAGAAATGAATTAATTAAATATAAAAGTCGAATTGAAAATTTTTTCATTTTCATTTAATGTAGATTGAATTAATAATTCATTTTTATTCAAATACATGAATTACGTTCATTGAACTTTGATTTGCAATAAGCATATGTCTATAGTACATTTTCAAATTATTATCATTGCTTTTATTAATATCTCGAGAATGATGCGACGATAACGAATCACACGATCTCACTGTAATGCACAAATAAATTCTTATCTCATTAATGATAATGATATTACTAATTACCATTCCATTTATATGATTATTATAGAACCTTAATAAATGTCTTTCCATCAGCGTATTGTTAAGAAAATTAGTTTCTATTGTAAAATTACACGTGAAATAGTACAAAAAAAAACAACAACAAAAAAAACAACAAATAAATAAGAAAGAAAGGAAGAAAAACAGAATAAAAAACAATGTTAATATGCAGGAAATCAATGGCGTCGTTGCTGCGAATGCAAATAGAGTTATTCGCACTGCTCGTGAATTCCGCAGACGAGCGGTCGAGCGAATAAAAGCGCCACTTGTCAGTATCCCATCTCGATTGTGCAAATACGGAATTCGCATTCTAAGGATAGTGCATAATTTGTCATGCCAAGTAGTCTGTCGTCGAAAAGATTATAAACGCGGCTGTGACTCCCCGGAAGTCCCTAGTCGATGATTTTTCACGAGACCTCTCCAATGGAAGAGCTTATAGCAGAGGGTGAAACAAGGGAACGACATTAATGAGATTATTCATCGGCAGCGCTGACCAATCGACGAGGCTCGTAATTATCTCGAGCGCATCAACGTCGCGATTAAAGTCGCGATAAACTTACGCTCTCCATTGGCGAGTCCTCATCCTGGCAGGCTGGGTTCCTGATGCCACCATCTGCTTCGAAGGAGACACCATGCTGCTGTTGTTGCTGTTGCTGCTTTTGCTGTTGCTGCTGCTGCTGCTGCTGTTGCTGCTGCTCCACATGAAATAGAATCGAATGAAACATGTTAGTTTGCAAGTCGGTGAAAAATTGGTAAATGTCACGATACGCTAATACCGGGGCTCTTACTCTACCCCCCACCCCCCACCACCACCCCCACTTTACTTGTTCCGCTTATCGCGTGAATCGTCAAAGCAACTCACCAAGCACTACGCGCTTCGAAGCAACGAGCGAGCGAAATAGTTTCATTTTAATTTGTGTTAGTCGCGCGAATTAAACAGCGCACCCTAATCCCCTAAGTAAAGAAGCCGCATTGTTGTTTTACGCGCTCGAGTCAAAGTTACAGTACACTTTGAATAATTTATTACCGGCTCGTACAACGAGATTAATGCAATAGGCTGTTGGAGCTTAGGAAGCGGCAACATACGTTAACTCGATATCAAGCAATCAATTTTGTTCTTTCTTTTTTCTTTTCTTTTCTTTTTTTTCTTCGTTTCGTTGAAGTTATAATTAAAGAGCGGCGCGCCAAGTTATGTTAGTACTTTCGACTATGATTAACTAATGAGGTATAATTTTGGTGCTTCGTTCAGCCAATAGGCTCGTCGACTAATGAACATTCATTATTTTATCAAAGCACAATGACTTCATGCGTTAAAATAGACGCGGTACGATAGGTTTTGCATTTTTACACAAATCCGGGAACTTGGTCGGGAATACCGTGAAAAAGATATTTACAGTCGCATTCAGTGCTTCTACGAATTATCTAAAAAAAAAAAAAAAAAAAAAAAAAAAAAAAAAACAAACAAACAAACAAACAAACAAACAAACAAACAAAAAGAAGAAAAAAAAGGCATAGAAAAGAAAAGTAACGAGCACGAACATATCGAATGCCAATTTTCTCTCCTTTGCGTGCGACGAAAATTATATCACGTAAGTTTATCTCGATAATTTATGTATTCTTCCATTAAATTTTCAGCACATTTTCAGTATGTTTGTTAAAAAAAAAAAAAAAAAAAAATAAAAAAAAACATAATAATCGTCTATATGAATAAGCGATTTCGTATTTAAGATATCGCAATGAAGTATTATGTACTTTTGCTGATTTTTCGAACTTTAAATAAAGGAAAAGTAAATTATGTAGGGAGTATATACGATCGACGGTTCAGTTGAAATAAAAGTCGAGTAATAAATATTACGCGATGCCGTTCGAACGAGAGGAGTAAAAATTCTCCTTACATCTGTTTTCCGCACTGTTTATAAATAAAATTACATACTTTTTACGATAATTTACCTAACGCGCACATACACTTATTATAAATTTTGATAAAGCCTACGTGCGCTCTCCTTACGCAATTAAAACGAGGAAAAAATCGTGTTAAATTAAAAATTCATTTATCTGAAAAACGTCAGATGGGCACGAAACAATTGCAATATTTGTCGGTAATTTTGTGCAATAAACAATATTTTTAATTAATTCCTTAAACTAGACTATCATTAAAGAAGGTTTTTTTTTTTTTTTTAACGGGATATCTTAAAATGTCCAAGAGTCGCTATTCGACGTAACGCACATGTATATTACGAACGGCTTAAAAGTACATTTGTCAAAAGTATTTTCCTGGCTGGCTAAATGCAATATTAAAAGAAAGTATCGCTTCTCTGTAAAGCTTCCTCGGCCGTCATATTTATAAACAGCGTTTGAATAGGACGAGGCAGAGGTTCGCGAAGCTCGAAAGGAACGCGTTAGGAAAAAATTCTGGCACGTCGGCGCGAGTTTAATCGCAACGCTAAATGTTAATGCTGCAGCGGCTGCGTGTGTCGGCACGCGAATTAACGCTCTGGAAATTCTAAAAAAGAACGGCAACATCTGTCGGTCGCCGGCACGAAAGTGCCCGGGCATGCATTCGCAAGGGAGTCATCGATCCGTTGGCAGCGACCGCGTTTCGCTCCCGCAACAGCAGGTGCTTATCTACGCGGCCGTCCATCCGATTCAGCAATGTCGGCCGTTACCGGGTTACGGGAGTCGGGCCAAACGGTCATCGTCCATCGGTGGCATTTTTCGAAAGCGACGTGTGGCTTTCGCAATGTTCGTCGGGCGCCGGAATCCGCGTTTAAGCGATTACGTAAGCGCAGAATTAGCGTTCCCCACGTCGCGCGCGCGCGCTACAATTGAGGGAAGTCGCTACGGTCCCTGTTTCCTCCTGCCCTACGAGCCTTGGCAAAATTTTATAAAGCGCCGCGGGGAAAGTGCAAAGGGGGAGGGAGGGGAGGGTTCGACGATGCAGCACCGACGGTTTAGAGCTCGTATTTTTCGCCACGAGCCAATGGCGATCGGACATTTCCGATCTTCCCGACTTCGCTTTCGATCATTGTGTACGCGTTAATGAACGTGTGCTTGTTAGTGTATCTGCTCTTTTTTGTTTTGTTTTTATTGTATTTTTTTTTAACGCGCCTCGGTATACTTTATTTACGAATAGCAACAAGTTAACGATGCACGATATAACTGGTTGATCTAGCGAAATGAAAAGGAGAGGTATATTCAGGTATAAGAGACGAGTGCTCGATTGGGCGTCTGGAAAAAAATCCAACCAAACGTCAATGTTTGCACGTCCTTTCGTGCGTTCACGAATACCGAGTAAATAGCGCATTTCATGCTTAATTTATAAACGAAGAGCTAGCGAATACAATTTATGATTAAAAGCGATGGGTTTTGAGTAATGCGTCATGTTTAATCGAGTATTACAAGCAAATTATGATTGTTTTTTACATGCACTTTCTTCCAACATTCTCTCGCTCGTTGTTGAGCTTTCGTTATACGCTTTATTCGGTATTACAAGACTCAATACACTAAGAGCCTTTTTTTCTTGTTTTCATCGTTTCATTATTTATTACATCATAGAATCGAATAAAATGTGGGAAATTATTTTGAAATCTATATATATATATATATATATATATATATATATATATATATATATAAATATAATGAAGACAGTCCTCGACAATTATGATTTTAAAAAATATAGTTTCTCAGTATTATCGGCACCACTTTATTATCCAATAATCTTACTTGCTCTTTCACTTATTATAAAATACAATTTTATAATTTAATGGTTTAGAAAACCGACACGGGTATTACAGTAATCTTTTTTTATACGTTTTCACCGGCCGAATAATCTAAATGATTTTCGATATAAATAACATTTGTAATTTTTATACTAAGTGAAATCGTTGCTTATAAATAAAAGTTTTAAAATAAAATTTTAAATTTCTCATGATAATATTAACGCTGAATTATCAAATAGATGCTATTACTTCGAATTTATTCACTTTCCTTTCAATTAACTTTTAATTCGACAAATTACATTGAAAATGTGGGGTCAACACTTTCATAACAAGTTTTTTTTTTTTTTTTTTTTTTTTTTTTTTTTAATTTAATAATTTGTATGCAAAATTTCAACAAAGCCAGCCAAATGCTATGCCATTTCTTTATTATTTACAATTTGTTATTGACAATTTCAGTTGCATTTACTTCAATGCGCCATGAAGCTTACGTTTATATGTCTATTATATTTTTATGGAAATGCTAAATTTTTCATTCCAAAAATTCATTGTTAATCGTTTATGTCAATGCTTTAGTAATTTGTTTCGTTATTGGGATACAAATTTCATAATCAACTGCTTTTTATTATGTAATAAATAACACAATATAACACAACAACATTATAAATCATTATCAAATTTAAAATATAAAAAAAATAATTTATAATCAGACTATAAACTATATAAGATTTATACTAAGTTTAATGCAGAAATTGAAATAAACTTTTTAATTCAATCATATTACATTAATATCTTAATCATGTAAGCATTAATAAAAAAACTAATTTCGATTTATTTATTTATTGATATTGCGTAATATCTTTTAAGATAATATAGTATTGCTTATTAATATTATGTTACCTTGTTTCTATATAATAAACACACACGTTTAATTGGTGGTGCTTAAATTTTTCTCAATTTAACGTTACAATTTATAAATTTTCATTACTTTCATTTCATTGTGCTATAAATTTAGTACTTTAATGTTGTTTCTAATAAATGACGAAATAATTAAGCTTCGAAATAATTGCAAACAAAAAAAAAAACAAAAAAAAAAAAACAAAAAACAAAAATAAAAAAATTGTATAAATTAATGCGCACACGATATTTAAAGCTTGAAAATTCTTGTATTTATAATTTTAAATATATTTATAATTTTAAAGTTTCTTGATTTTTCGAAATGCAGTAGTACCACATTCTAGTGGATTTGAAACATTGCAAAAGAAATTAAACCGGCTTTTACACAAGCTCCGCAATTTTTACGAAAAATTCGCTCGAATCTTACGTAAATTCGCGAATTAACGTATACGAATATAATATTATTATTTTATTTCCCATATAAATGCATATTAAGCAATAAATATTACAACTTTTCGTTCATAAAATTCTCTTCAATTTAACTAAAAAATTCACGACAATAATTGTTCAAATTTATTATAGAAAGAAAATATTCATGTTATCTTGTCGTATTATATAATGAGAAACTTATTTATTTATTTCAAATATCATATAGAAATCGAGAAATTACAATGAAATATTGTTAATGTCTTATTACATTATATATTTGTCTTTAGGCTCGTACTTATTAAAACTTAACAATGTGTCGGAGCTCATTATTAATTTGTTATATTATGTATTCAATTATTTTATTTTATTTTTTATTTTTTTTTTTTTTCATTATTCAATGAAATCCTTTTTGTATAATAAATGCTAACTTTTATATCGAGAATGTATATGTTCGCGCATGAAAAATAATTACCATTAAATAAGACGTATTTATTGCAGAAATCATTCTAATATTAAGAATGTTAAAAATATTCTTTTTACAATCTGATTTTTTAACAATTTCGTTGGGTATGTTATTTAATTATTCCGTAAAATGGGAAATAATATCAGAAGAAGATTACGATAGCCGTAAAAAATATTAAGAATTT